ACTATAGTTCTTTTAACATGCTGCTGAAGTATTCGTGGCATAATACAAAAATATGTTTGCTCTTGGCACTGGTTGCTAGAGCAGCTCCAGAATTCCTGGATTCTTTTGAGCGATATAAGTCTTTTGTTGTTCTTATCTAGCTCTTTTCAATTTGAAGATTTAAAATGAAATTTATATATGCCATAATGGGGACTGGTACCAGTGAAGAGACTTGCTCCTGGGCTGCGAGGTGGGTACAGAAAGGCTCAGCGATTAGGTGCATGGGACAGTGAGCTCCTCCCGCTGACTTCCTGAGAGGAACAGAGTTGGAGGTTAATAAACTCCAGTATTAAAGTCTTTTGAATGACCAGATTTGATGAGCTTCCAAATTAGTTATTGCTTTGAGGTGTGTCTCTCTTAGAGAGACCTAAGTGTGTCCCTAAGAAAGAGCGTGGGGTGCCATATTCTACCCCAGCCTCCCCCAATCCCTCACCCTTTCCATTGCTTCCAGATGCCTGTGCTGAAGCTCTCTGGGTTGTCTGCCAGGTTACGAATGCCACATCCCCCTCTGTAAGGGAATGTGGCTAATCCATGATTTATAGATGATGATCAGAAATATGAGAGTCCTGGGAGAGTCCCTTTATTTTTGGTGCCAGGGAATCAGTCGCTCCTGATGTTACGAGAGGGATCATTCTGTTGCGTGCATTCAGCTCCTCCATTTATCTCTCCTATGCCTGGAGAATTCTCCGGGGAGGGGCAGAGGTGGCTTGAGTCACAGCCAGAGGAGTTCAGAGGCTATTCCTGACTCTGTATTCAGGGACCACTCCTGGTGGTGTTTGGGGGACCACAGGTGGCACTGGGGATTAAACCAGGATCAGCTGCATGCACGGCAAGTTGCTTTAACCCTGTACTATCTCTCTGGGCTCTGTATTGGGGTAGGGGGGTGCCTTTGTGTTGCTCAGGAGACCTGGGTCCCCTCTCAGTCGTTCTCTGGCCAGCCGGCCCAGAGTTCAGTCCAAGGGCCCTGGCAGGCAGTGCCACTCAAGTCTAGCAGTGCTCAAGGCCTTTTTGACCTGTGTCTAGAGACACCCTGGGTCAGAAGGGCCCAGCCACTTCTGAGTTATGTGCCTTAACCCCTGTACTCTCTCCAGTCCCCATCTTCCTTTTATTTAAGGGAGATATCTTCTGAACTTCCCACTGAACATTGCTTTTGCTTCATTCTGTAAATTTTGTTTGTTGTTTTATTGTAATACATTGTGATGTAAATTTTAGTTGTCCTTGCAGTTTCTTCAACTTGTGAACGAAGGGTATGTTGTTTAACATACTCCTGTGTTTTTTCACTTTTTTCGGTTTTTTGTTTTCCAGTTTTTTGTTCAATTTTTAAAATTTTTTTGTTTCATTCTTTTCTGATCAGAAAAATATGTTGTGATTTCAGGCTTCCTAAGACTCAGTCTTTATTGAGATTATATTTTGGTCTTAATGTAAGATCTACACTGAAGAATGTTTCATTGGACATCTGAGTGAAGGCTGTGTCTCCGGTAGAGTTGATGTGTAATGTCCTTCAGCTCATGTTTTTCCTTATGTATTTGTTTGATCACATTGTTGTTGTTTTATACATTCTAAAACTTGAATCACGTTGAGATCCACAGTTAATAAAGCTGTCCATGATTGATTTTCATCCCTTCACAGGTGTACATTTCCCTCTATCAATCTCCACCACCAGTTTCCCTCCCATGCCCCGCCCCCATCCTCTGTTTGACTTTGTTTCTCCTTTCTTCTTGCTGGTTACTCTTGCCATCTCCACCAGGACAAGAGGCTGCACACTTTGTTGGGTGCATAGGGTCCCAGTGAGTGTTGGGGGGGAGCACTTTACTTACTGTTGAGCCTCAGCCCCAGTCCATTTAAAGTGAGGTAGTCAGGGTCCTTCCTCTTATATAGAAAAGTTTGTCTTCAGTTCTGTCCCTTTTGCCCCCTATTTTTGCTTCTTGTGTTTTGCCTTTTGTTAGTTACATACATGTTGATAATGGTTATGTCTTCATGGTTGAGCTTTAAAAAAATATAGTTTTTATTGTAACATTTTGACTTAAACTCCATTTTGCTCAATAATATATAGCCATCCAGTTCTCCTTTGGCTACCCTTTGCAAGGAATATCGTTTTCTATTGTTGACTTTCAATCTTTGTATTTAAGGTGTGTTTCATTTTATGAATTGAGGATTTATCAAAGATTTATTTCCTTGCGGGGGAGGGATCGGTAAGGGATTACTGGTAGAAAGGTGTTTTTTGTTTTTTCTTTGAGCAATTCTAATTTTTTAATGTGTTATTAACCACCCACCCTCCACACTGCCCAGTAACTTAAAAAAAATGTATTGTGCAATGGTATTTAACAGAGAATGTTTAGCCATATGCAGTTCTCAGAATTGACACATCTCTAGACTTACATATAGCTCTCTGTGCTTTTTGAAACTACTGGTAGTTAATTTGTTCCGGAATCTATTTATGTATCAGTGGGCTGGGGGCGGAGTACTGGGGTCGAACCCAGAGTCTTGTGCATGTGAGGAATGTCCCCTCCCACTTGAGCCATGTGCTTGCCCTTAAATTTTTATCTTATTTATTCTGTTTGTTGGGGGGGGGGGGGGGCATACCCTGTGATGCTCAGGGGTCACTCTTGGCTCTGCACTCAGGAATTACTTGTGTTGGTGCTCAGGGGACCATACAAGATGCTGGGGATCGAACCTAGGTCAGCCGTGTGCAAGGCTGCTGTAGCTATTACCTGCTGTCCTATTGCTCCAGCCTTATTTAAGAGCATAACCAAACTAAGTTAGCACTTCATTCTAAATACACCATCTTAACCTCTTTGTAATTGTTGTCTACTGTGGTGGACATTGGAAGGGGGGAAGTGACATAAGAAAAATGACATAGGTATTTAGATTAAAATCTCACCTAAGCCAAAATTAGATTTTAGCCTTGTTGAAAATAGCTGACTTCCAGCATATCTGTCCCTGCATTTGCAGTGTCACTAAGAATTCGTAAGGGGAAGAGTCTACATCCCTGGGCTAGTTACACTCAGGAAACGCTGGTTTCTTCCCTTGGCATCTCTCCATGTCTCTCGGGGATGGCTTTCTGTGATGCTTGGTGTGTCTGATTCTCTTATTTCCCTTAAGAAGCTTTGTATTCAGCAGTGTTAAGGGGTCAGTTGACAAAGAGCACAAATAAATCTTCTCGACTTGTTGGTTTGATTTCTCAGAGAATTAAGGGGCCCGAGCAGGGGGTCTGGTCCATCTTGCCACTGTTCCCTGTGCTACAGCACCATCCCGGAGATATACTTGCAGTAATAACACAGGTTCCCCTTCTGTTTGTTTTTGTTTGGGGGCCACACCCAGCTGTGCTCATGGCTTACTTCTGGCTCTGTGCCCAAGGATCACTCCTGGCATTGCTTGGGGGATACCATACAGGGTGCCAGGGATTGGATCTGGGTCAGTGGCGTGCAAGGTGAATACCCTGCTTGCTGTACTGTCGCTCGGGCCCATTTGCCTTATTCTTTGTTTGAACTTGATATACAGATGGAGTTAATCGAGAAACAAGGATAGATATGTTTGCGATCTTTTAGATAGAATACCTCCTTTGTTGTCTTGTTCTCATTCACCTAACCAGAAACTCCTAGAAGATTGTGGTCAGTTAGCAGGTAGAGGAGCCGGTGGGGAGATTCCCGTGCAGCAGCAAGCCGCTTGAACCTCCTTGTGTCTTGCTTTCTCACTGAGCTTGTGAGTCTTGCCTAATGTCCTCTCCTGAAGTTTCTTGAAGTTAAGTTCCCTGTGTTTTTCATCTTCTTTCCACAAATCCAATCATTTCTTTACTTTGGTATGGCAAATGTGAATTGAGTCTTAGGCCTTTTAAAAATTCGTGTCCGATAGTCCTGGGGTTAGGTGCATACCTTGCGTGCAGCTGACCTCCACTTAATCCCTGGCACCACTCTCTCTCTCAAGCACTGCAGAGTGGACCCTCACATTGACCTCCAGACTAGTTGGCTGAGAATCACTAGGAGGAGCCCTGGGGCCTCCTGAGCACTGCTTGGAAAGCCCCTCTTCCCTACTCAGATAGTGCCTGGGATGGGCCAGAGCCATAGTACAGCAGGTAGGGTGCTTGTCTTGCCTGCAGCCCATTCATATTTGATGTCTGACATTTCACATGGGGAGTACCGAGCCAGAAGTAACCCCTGAGCTCTGTTGGGTATGGCCAAATAGAAAGAAAGGAAAAAATGTGCCTAGGGTTGGGGAGATTGCCCAAAGGATTTGAGTCCTTTGCTCCTACTGAACCTCAGATTCAATTCCTGCACTACCTGTGTGCCCCCACCCACCAGCACAGCCTGGTATAGCCCTGGTGATCCCGTAGCACTGCTGGGGTGGCCACCAATACCACACCTGACCCATCAGGAGCCATCATGCTTGCAGAACCAGCTGAGAATTGCCAGGAGTGAGTGAGTGTGTGTGTGTGTGTGTGTATGTGTGTGTGTGTGTGTGTGTGTGTCCATGCCCCCCCCCCCAAGCCATCTGAGTCCTGCTTGAGATTCCCCTCCCCGAAAAGGGGGTGTTTCATGCCCAATCCTGGGCTTCATCCATAGGAAGTGTAATAATACTCCACCATTGACCTACATCTCTGTGCAGTATCTATCATTTGGAAGCTGAAATTCTGTTATTGTTTATAGGTAGCATGTTTAACTAGAAATGTGTCTTTTTTTTTTTTTTTACTTGGGGGATTTATAGTTTGCCAATCTAATCACTGTGGATTCTATTTCGCTTGCTGACACAGACAAAATCAAGAGTTAACCCCTTGAAGTGTGGTGGAGCTGGTCCCTACCTTTGGCATATATGTACCTGAGACTCACTTTGGAAATGAAGGTTCTGCTCACTAGGCCCATGGGCAAGGCAGCTTTGTGGAACTCTGGAACTCTCTTAGTTGTTTTAGTGAAAATAAATTTTTCTTTGGGTTGGAAAAGCACTAATGGTTCTTCTCTTTCTTGTAGCACTGAACAAGATTTGTGATGAAATGGAGCCTGGAACAAATTCTTTTCGAGTAGAATTTCCTGATTTTTCCAGCACCATTTTGCAGAAGCTAAATCAGCAGCGCCAGCAAGGACAGTTATGTGACGTCTCTATTGTTGTCCAAGGCCACATTTTCCGGGCACACAAAGCTGTTCTTGCTGCCAGTTCACCCTATTTTTGTGACCAAGTACTCCTGAAAAACAGCAGGAGGATTGTTTTACCCGATGTGATGAACCCTAGAGTGTTTGAGAACATCCTCCTTTCGAGTTACACAGGACGCCTGGTGATGCCTGCTCCCGAAATTGTTAGTTATTTAACAGCAGCTAGCTTCCTCCAGATGTGGCATGTGGTAGACAAGTGCACAGAGGTGTTAGAGGGAAACCCCACTGTGCTCTGTCAGAAGCTCAACCACGGCAGTGACCACCAGTCCCCCAGCAGCAGCAGTTACAATGGCCTGGTGGAGAGCTTTGAGTTGGGCTCTGGGGGCCATGCTGACTTCCCCAAGGCCCAGGAACTGAGGGATGGCGAGAACGAAGAGGAAAGCACCAAAGACGAGCTGTCATCTCAACTCACTGAGCACGAGTACCTTCCCAGCAACTCCTCCACCGAGCACGACCGACTGAGCACAGAGATGGCGAGTCAGGATGGGGAGGAGGGGGCCAGCGACAGCGCGGAGTTCCACTACACGCGGCCCATGTACAGCAAGCCCAGCATCATGGCGCACAAGCGCTGGATCCACGTGAAGCCCGAGCGCTTCGAGCAGGCGTGCGAGGGCATGGATGTGCACGCCCCCTACGACGAGCACCAGGTCACTGAGTCTATCAACACCATGCAGACGGAGCACTCCGTCCAGCCGTCGGGGGTGGAGGAGGACTTCCACATCGGGGAGAAGAAGGTGGAGGCCGAGTTCGACGAACAGGCGGACGAGAGCAATTATGATGAGCAGGTGGATTTCTATGGCTCTTCCATGGAAGAGTTTGCCGGGGAGAGGTCAGATGGGAATTTACTTGGGCACAGACAGGAGGCTGCCCTGGCAGCCGGCTACAGTGAGAATATTGAAATGGTCACGGGGATCAAAGAGGAAGCTTCCCACTTGGGCTTCTCCGCCACCGACAAGCTTTATCCCTGTCAGTGTGGGAAGAGTTTCACTCACAAGAGTCAGCGAGACCGACACATGAGCATGCACCTCGGCCTTCGGCCATACGGCTGTGGCGTCTGCGGCAAGAAATTCAAGATGAAACATCATCTCGTGGGCCACATGAAAATCCATACTGGCATAAAGCCGTATGAGTGTAATATCTGTGCAAAGAGATTTATGTGGCGGGACAGTTTCCATAGGCATGTAACTTCTTGTACCAAGTCCTACGAAGCTGCAAAGGCTGAGCAGAATACAACTGAGGCTAACTAAAAATAGGGGCTGGCCCTTGAGTGGCAGGCACAAAAATAAACTATGGTAATTATGCAAATCTGGGCACAGATGATGCGTGCTACTTGCTATTATAAGAGAAGCTTAAAAAAAAAAGGAAGAAAGAAAAGGAAGATATTTTGGAAAGACCAGCTCTAAGTAGGCCAATTAAAAAACCTAATTCCTCAAATCTGTGTGTTCCAGTTCAGGCCTGGAGTGGGCAAGGGGGGGTGAGTTGACCCACCTCCCAGCTGGCAAGGTAACCCTCTGGGCCCATTGAGAGTTGGGCAGTGCACATGGTTCTAGAAATGCCAGCACTTGGAACTGAACTCCAGTTGACCAGTTCCGTTTTAGGTGGCAGCAGTTTCTGATCACTTATTATAAGGTCATGCTGAAGTTTTATTTTGTTCTTACTATAGATACTTAAGATGATGTGGGGGGGGACTTTTTTTTTTTTACAGCTGCTTTCCTGAATGAAATGCTACTTAATGTAAAAATGACAAATAATGTGAGCCCTCAGATGCGAAGTTGATTAACAGAGCTCTCTTTCTGATTTTGTTCTTTCTAAAGGGTATTTTCATTAAAACTATGGAGCTACTAGAAGCGTGACATTCTAAATATGAAACAAATAGTGAATGGTACAAGCTCCCATTTCTGTCAGATGCCACTGTCACGATGTTGTAGACTCTTGATCAGGCAGAACTTTGTATCTTCGTATTAACATTGAATTTGAACAGCTGTATCTCATTGTAATTCTCTAGGGTGGCAGAGATAGGGCTTTCTTCTGGGGTGCTTTCCCAGACCCTGTTTGGGAGTGGTAGCATCTGGACCCCGGGATTGACTTTGTGGCCATGGGGTTCTGGCCAGCTGGGGGTGACCACAGCACCATGGCTGTCCCAGTCCTTGGCCACCCTAGGTCAGGGTGCTTCCCAAAGAGGCCAGTCAGCTGATGACCACAGTGAGAGGGAAGGAGCCAGAAGTCGTGGCCAAGTGGCCTGTGAATGTCAGGTTATGTGGCCACGACAGTGTGTCAGAGTGAGCTGCCCAGTAGCAGAATTGTGAATTGCAGGTTATACTTGAGAATAAAAAAGAAAACCTGTCCGGGAAGAGTCTTGAAAATACACTGGTATGGGAGATGACTTTTTTTTTAGGGGGCTACACTGAAACTAATACTGCCGAAGTCTTGGTGTGGAATTTTTTAAGGGGTAGGAGGAGGAATCTTGGCTATAGATACAGGCGCGTGCTCCCAGATCAAAGCTAAAGCTGAATGCAGTTAAAAGTCCGCGCGGCTCTACCTACCAAAATAAGAAAAGCAGCTATTCTGAGATTTTTTTTCTCCCCATCAGATGTTTGAGGTTGTGTGTGTGTGTGTTTTTTTTAAAGCGCATATATATTCAGGATACTTTTAAGCTGTGTAACATACCTTGAACTATTACCAGGGTAGGACAGGGTGCTACTGTTTGTGACTCTTCTGTAAATTATTGGTCTGTTACTTCTAAGTGAGAACTCCCCGCTCCCTTCCCCCTTCCCTTAAGTAAGAATAGCTTTTGGATTTGGGGTAAAATTTTGTTTTAAAAGTTTGGCTTTGCTCTAATGTGATTAACATTGCTGGCAAAGGCCTCTGATCCTCGAGTTCCTACCAGACAAGGCTTTTCACTTGTTGAATGAATGAATGCTGTCTGGAAAAGGGAGAGCAAATACCAGTTAACTCTTGTAATCAAGATTACAAAACAGGGATCTCTTCATTAACACTGTATCATTCTTGATATATATATATATATATATGTATGTATATATACATATATATAAGCACTTTGTATTTAAAACTTTATTATAAATATAAAAATATATATTGATTTTTTAACCTAGAAACTAGATATTACCTCTTGGTTGTTTGCCACATTAATATCCTCGTGTTGAGACTTTACCAGTAAACAGTCCCTTTCTCTGTGTACTTGACAGAGTGGTAGAGGTGACTGTATAATTAAGCTCAATTGCTCCTTCTCTTATTTCTCATGTTAGAAACCAGTGGGTTTTAAGTATGATCCTAGCCACTAAGTGTGAGGAGAAATTTGTTGTTCCTACCTATTGCAGTACTAAGGCAGTGACACCATTTTCTGCTAAGACATTTTCCAAGTGGGTGGCCTAGAACCAAGACGCTTGTCCCCTACTGAGACTTACCTGCTTCTCCGGTCCCAGTGGGGGCTTCGAGGCACCACCGTGGTGGTTAATACTAGTTCCCACATGGGGCTTTCAAGGTGAGATGGACAAGCTCAGGGTCCGCGTGGGGAGTGGAGGTCTCACTGTCATAGCCGCCAGAGCCTTTCCTCAGCCTTCCTGGCCCCTGCCTGTTGATTCTGACTTCCAGATCTCATCTTGCTCCTGTCCCTGCTTTCAGAGAGTTTGTCCCAAAGGGTCTCCTCTGTTCTCGGGCAAAGTGCTGTACGAACCCCTCCCCGAATCGCTGATGCTGCTTTGTCTCAGCGGCTCCTACCTGGGAGGCGCCACGCTCGCGTCCCCAAGCTGCTGGACGCATGGTGGAGGCCACGCCGCGTGTTCCCAGAGCAGGCTCATCTCATGCTGGCTTCAGTGAGTCTCTGATGACAGTGGCATGCTGGTCGCCGGGCAGCACATCCCCTGGGCTCTCGGCTGGGTCGCATGGGCTTCAGTGACCAAGGTTGCTTTCATGGGTGAAACCAGGGTTAGTAGAATTGGGCTCTTCCTTTGCTACTACATTTTTAAAGGTACCTGTTTCTTAGTTCGAGTCCCTCCTGGTAGTGCCCTGTGGGAAAATGCTGGAACACGTTTGGTCAATGTGACTCCCTCCCTCTGTGTTCTCAATTTTGCTTGTAAAGCCCATGTCACTGTCCGCTGCTGCCATCACCTTTCACTTCGATGAGGTTCCCCAGGCTTCTTCCAGAGAATTCCTTTATTTATGCAAGTCAGGTGACTCTTAGATCATAAAATCATTTGATGATGAACAGATTATCACTAGGTGCATATCTTATTGATATTTGGTGAAATGTTCTGCCTGTGTCGCAAAAAGCCGACTCGTTTTGTCTTTCTCTCTCGCTGTCTTCGGTGTACAGCATGGTTTTACTTAACTGGATGTTGCTGTTTCCGATTTTCTTCTTATAGAAGAGACCATGCCCTTTTGTATGACATGTTTTAATAAATGTTACCTGTCAACTTTGTAAACTTTGTGGTTTTCACTCAGGGTCCGTGGTCATGTGTCTGCGTTTTTTATTCTGACTTGTGTCACCTGCAGCCCGTTGGTGGAGTGTGGGCTTTTGATGAGCAGATGCTCCATGGACAGTGAGTTCCCTTGGCGGGACCGAGCACTAAGGGTGATTGTCGCCCTCCTGAGGGTGCCGGGGACGCACCCCAGGACCTGGGACATGCACAGCCCATCTCCATCCCCACAGCTCCCCCTCGGCTACTGGGCCCCCTCAGATCCCTCCCTCCCTGGGGCTCCTCCGGGGCTGAGGCTGTGGACCCGCCCTCCTGTTTCCCTCGCACCTCGCTGGGAAGAGCTGGGGGATGCAGAGGAGCAAGCACCCCACCGGCTCCATCACTCCCTGCATGGGCCAAGTGGCACAGCGAGCAGCTTCTCCAACGGCAGCCACTCCTGCGGTCACTCGCTAGGGCATCGCCCCTCTTCTTCCACGGCCGTCCTGGCTAAGCGCTGGGCTTGCCCTAAGGCCAGCTCGCCCCGGCCCTCGTAGGTGGACGTGGCCCACGCCCTTGGCACATGGGCCCTTCAGCAAATGCCTGTCTGGGTGGGCTCGTGCTTTGGACCCTGCTCCCGCAACTCAGAGAAGCCAGAGTTAGCCAAGAGGTCAGGGCAGGGCCATCCAGCAGAGCCGTCCCTGCTCCTGCGCCGGGTCCCCTCCACCACTCACGCGGAGCAGTGCTCCTCAGCAGACTGTATGGCAGGCCCCACGTGTTTCCTAACAACAGCTCATTACAGGAGACACTGCTTGTTTTAGCCCAGCGGAGCATCTTCCCACACAAACCTTCTGTTCCCACTGTTTGTTGTGAGGGTTTCCCCTCCCCGCGGCCCATCTCAGAGCCAACCACAGAGGCCTCCTCTAGCTTTGTCCGCGCGCCGGGGGGACGGCGTCCGGGAACCAGATCCAGCTGGGATTCCGAGTGGGGCACCCCAGGGGCTCAGGCCCTGTGGCCGTGATGACCATCTCTCCCTCCAGTTCCTCCTTTCCTCGCTCTTGGGGACCCTGCTGAGGCTTCTTGGTTCCCTGCAGCCCAGCTCACTTAGGAAGCAGATGGCTCCAGGATCCCGCAGGTGAGGAAGCCTCTGAGGGGCCCCTCGGAGAAAGGCGGCAACGAGTGGCTCATTTGTGTTTGGAAACAGAAAGGGGGGGGAGGTGAGGGGTGCAGCCCAGATGGAGCATGTTACACCTGTGTGGCAGTCACCCCTCTGCTTGCAGTCGAGGCGGGGACTGCTCCCCACTGAACCCCCGATGCATTCCTCCAGGCGGGCTGCCTGCCGGGGCAGCTTGGCCGCATGGCTCTAGAATTTGCCCTCTGCCAGTGGACCGCTTAGCAGGTCAGCCACAGGAAATGAGGTAAGCTTGAACTTGCTCTCACAGTCATTTCTCGTCGGTAAATAATGCTGTTAATGCAGAAAGGGAGCGAGAGAAGATCTCTCACCCACCCACTCGCTCGGGTTCCTTCTAAAACGGCTCAGTGGCCAGTCCGTTGAGAGATTAGTGTGTGGAAATAACAACATTTTTTTTCCTGCTCTAGGAGAAACCAGAAGGGGAATCAGGATGGAGAAAAGTCAGAACTGCTTCGAAGAGTTTTAAATCAAAACCAATTCGATGTTAGAATCTGGCACCACTGTGAATCCGAACAAGCCTCCTAAGTAACCAGATAGTTTCAGGAGCCGTCGGGCTCACTTTAAAGGGTGTCCTGGCCAAACTAGGTAATTCACATGCAGCTTTGTAAGTAACTGTGTGGTAGAAAAAAATGCTGGCTTTTTTTACTCAGATTCCAGTGATTATGCGTCTTATTTTTTTTTCTCCCTCTTATTCCGAAATTAGAAACTGGTACTAAAGTCATTAAATGTATTTGTTACTTAATAAGATAGTAGTTACTCCCTGGAGGACCCTAATGGAGCAGCTAACCTTTATTAATGGAAGCGGAAGGTGGCCGCTGGACCCATGCTTGTCTCATTAACTTGGGTCAGTCGCGCCGTGATAGTCTCGCTTAGGAGGGTGCTCGGAAGCTTGCAGGGTTCTTGGTTCAGGAGTGAGCCCTGCTAGACTTCCTGCAGGGGCAGGCTCTGCAGTCACAGTGGACCTGGATGATGAGGATGAACTTTGGCCTCACTTACCTAGTGCGTCCTAATGTGTGACCTGGCTTTTTTTTTTTTTTCCTCTTCATAATACAGAGTTAAGGGAATTTTTCTTGGTTTCCTGCAGTCTGTATTTATTGGGTGCTGAACACACACTCCACCTGTTTTGCAGTGTGAGGGAACCTGGCAGGATGGCCTGAGAACAGCATCTCTAGGTGCAGCTCTTCTGTGCACTTAGCCGGTACCCCAGGAATCCACTCTCTAAGCCGCTGATATCCTTGACCTGTGGGGATGTCTGTGTGTGAGGGGCCGTTGGGAGACACAGATGTAGGCCCTGCTATACTCCTGGGGCCTCTGGGTAGGGACCCCGTGAGTTCTTGCTCTTGATTCTCGGGAGGAGCAAAGACCTTAGCCTGAGATTGTCCTGGGCCTGGCACCCACAGCCGGACATTAGCCATC